TGGCCGAGGCTGCCCAGGGAGGTGCTGGAGTCCCCAGCCATGGAGGGGTTCAAAAAATGTGTAGCTGTGGCACTTGGAGACATGGTTGAGTGCTCATGGTAGCGTTGGGTTGGTGGTTGGACTTGATGATCCTAGAGGTCTTTCCCAACCTTAATGACTCTGTGTGCTGCCCATGGAGCTGCTCTGGGCAGGGGCACACAGTGACTCCCACCCTCCCAAGAGCAGTGGATCGAAGGCTGATGGCTGTGGGGGTCACCTGGTTCTGAAGGCAACAGGATCAAAACAATGCTGTGGCCACCCTGGGGAGAGGTGAGTGAGGTAGAAGGTGGGAGCTTCCCTGTGGGAGATCATCAGGTTCCTATTTTCATCCTGTGCATCATCAGTGCCTTTGGAAAGGTGCTTAGCCCTGGGGAGCATCTAATGCTGCCGACTTCTGCGGTCGGTGCCCGGCTGGGAACCTGAAGCACTTCCCAGGAGGTGGCTGCCTTCTGCACAGGGTGTTGCTAACAGGCAGGGCTGGCAGGACAACAGCCTTGGTGTCCAGCTCAGGAGAGGACTTGGCCCTCACCAAGTCCTCCAGGGAGCAGGGGTGACCCCGAAACACCCACAAACCCCCTTCAAGAGGGTGACCAAAGCTGCCAAGCAGCTCTATCCTCAGCAGACTTCTGTGCTCTGCAGCTTCCCATGTGTGCCTGCAGAGAGCCCTGGAGCTCTCTGCTCTTTTTGATTTGTATTGTTTGTCCTTTCACTGCTGAACTTGGATGTATATGTAAAAAGCATCTTGTCATTACTACACCTGTCACCTCCAGCATGACACCCAGATACCTTCCTTCAGTGGAGGGCAAGCTGAACCCCTGGTTTTGCTGCTGAGCATATCTCCTCCCCACCCTGCAGCTGGGTTAGAGCAAAGCCCAGAGACTGAGACTCACAGAATTATTTAGGTTGGAAGGGACCTTAAAGATCATCTAGATCCAGCCTCCCTACCATGAGCAGGGACACTTCCCACTAGAGCAGGTTGCTCAGAGCCCTCTCCAACCTGGTATTCAACACTTCCATGGAGGGATCATCCACAACTTCCCTGGGC